AGCTTCCAGTCAGTCAAGTTGGAGCACACGTGGACCTCATTTTCAGGAAATGATTGCTGCACAAAAACAGCCCAGTTTCTTGGAGAGATTTTAAATCTTTTAAAATGTAAAGACAGGAAACATAACATTACCTTTATATAAACTCTGATGAATTTTTTTAAAATGTGAGATTTGATTAATTGAACCTCCAAATTCTTAAAAAGTCAACAAAGCTCCCGCTCTACTCGGAAATATTCCCCACAGGCAAAGCCGGTCATTGTTTATGTCTCGTAACTCAGGAAGTAGTAAAAAGAGGGCGCCCATGTGAGAGGTGGGCTGAAACAGGCCCATCTTTGTGCTAGCAAGATGGTCTGTAAAGTCTCCTGGGAGCTCTAAGTGAAAGCTTGATCGTTTTCAATCAGACAGCAAAGTTTTTGTATTAGAAATGTTCCTCGTGCTAACTCTCGGTGGAGGCTAGAGACCATCAAGCTGCCTGGAGCAGACAGAAAATAGTCACAGTTTTAGAATCATCGGGGACTCATAAATGAACGTGTTAATACCGTACATTAGGGATTTTATTTGACACAATAAAATCCCACTGAAAACCTTTGATGTCACCAACTATCCAAATTGTCACCCTCTGTCCTGCTTTGCAGAATGTTTAACAGTCAGAAATGAGATAGCAGGATTTTTTAGGGGCTAGTTTTATTTTTTTGTGACATTTTCTTTAATATCTGAACCGTAGGTGGTCCAAGCTCCTACTTTTGGCATCTGTTTCAAGTCCAAATCTCAAAGTATTTCATTAAGCGAGAAAGGGCAGCTGCCAGCTTATCTGTAAATTAGAACCAAGCTGGCAGACGGCAACGGTCTCAGGTGATATATTTCACAAGGGGGAAGACCGAGAAACAACACCAAAAAAAAAAAAAAACACTTGAGGTTTATAGAGGATCTTCAAAGTGATGACTGGATAGAAGACAGGATTGCACTCTGAGTCGCTAGATTTTAAATGTCAGAAATAAAACAAAAATCTCCTTTGAGGTGGTTCTTTCCATATTTTCCGAAATGCATAAAAATAAAAACAACAAAAGATGCTTTTACATGTACAACCCAGATTTGACAAGATCTGTAAATGAACATGATAATACTCCTGCGTTGTAATATGCTGATTTATATTTGCACCCACAGAAATGGATTCTCCAAAAGACTTAAAGGCTTCAGATGTAACTCTGGATTCTGCTTCCTTAAGCTGGATCCCTCCACTGGCAGACATCGAGGGTTACATCCTCACTTACAGAGATGAAGATGGAAAAAAGGAGGTACTTTGTCTTTTAAATAACCTTTTTAATAAAGAAAATACTGCCATCTTGTGGCCATAAACAATAATCCTACTAAATAAAACTGCTTGTTTAAATAATCTAATTTAAACTAGATGCTGACAGTATTAACAACCCTTTTGCTAACCCAACAAAAGGCTCGTTATCACATAAACATTGATTTGTGAAATTATATAAAACTGAGTGTTCAGCAGGATTTTTCCATCTTGTTTTGTTGCCACCAGGCAGTTGAAAGGCAGCTTGGAGCCGGTGACAGAAGCTTCTCTCTGTCCAACCTGGAGATGGGAAGGAGATACGTTGTTACCATTATCGCCTACAGGGGCAACAAGAGGAGCAAGATCATGGAGACTGTTTTTAAAACTGGTCGGTTCTGTTCATGTGTCTTCACCCAACAGCATCCCACTAAAATGTTGTTTATCTTTATTATTGGTCTAATTTTCACGTCTCTTTCCCCAGTTGGCTCATTGCACCCCTTCCCTATGGACTGTGCACAGGTCATGAAGAACGGCAATAAAAGAAGTGGCATCTTTACCATCTATATCAATAACAATCGGTCAAAACCAGCAGAGGTTTACTGCGATATGGACACAGATGGAGGCGGATGGCTGGTACTGATCAGCTCCACAGAATAAGTCATAAACAGATTTCTATCATGTCAACACAACAGTGTTTTGGCTAACATAGAATAATAAAAAAGTCTAATATCTCTCAGATTTGGTAATGTCCAGCTTTGAGATTTGTCTAATCGCTTGCCAATTTGAGTTATTTATGTCACACGTGTCAGTGAATTCTTGGTGCTTTCAGGTGCTCCAGCGCCGTAACACGGGCAAGCTGGACTTCATGAAGCGCTGGAAGCAGTACATAGCAGGGTTTGGTAGCTTGACAGAGGAGTTCTGGCTTGGTAAGTAATTAATTGGCTGTTTTAGGATTTTTTTAAATTTAATTTAATTTGCTGATGCTAATAAATTATTCTAATGTTTTATTTTTTTTTCTGCTGCCTCAGGTTTGGAGAAGATACATGACCTGACCAACACCCCCACTCAGTATGAGCTGCGGTTTGACTTGGGCCTGGGCTCAGAGAGAACCTACGCCGTATATGATAACTTTAAGATTGCTCCAGTCAAGCAGAAGTTCACACTCACTATTGGCAAATACAGAGGGACAGCAGGTGGGTTTCACACTAAGGCTGATTAGAGGGATTATGAGAGCTGCTTTCAAAATGGCCTGTATTTGATATAGCACCTTCTAGAGTCCTGGAACCCCCCCAAGGCGCTTTACAACACAATCAGTCATTCACCCATTCACACACACATTCACACACTGGTGGGGATGAGCTACAGTGTAGCCACAGCTGCCCTGGGGCGCACTGACAGAGGCGAGGCTGCCGAGCATTGGCGCCGCCGGTCCCTCCGACCACCACCAGCAGGCAACGTGGGTTAAGTGTCTTGCCCAAGGACACAACGACAGCGACAGACTGAGCGGGGCTCGAACCTGCAACCTTCCAATTACGGGGCGAGCACTTAACTCCTGTGCCACTGTCGCCCCATATATATATATATAGAAGTGTTACATATACTCAATTAGTTCGTGAAGCATTTTTATATGTTTTTATTTTATTTTGTAAATTATGCAAAGTAGTAATGCATGCATGCATTTAAATGTGCTCCAGACAGTACAGACACAGTAAGTGGGACGCTGCGTCTGCATGACCCACTGTCTGCTGAAACAGCAAATACTGCAGTGAATCATCTCTGGTGCTTGATTAGATTTATCCCATCAGGGAATAAAAATGGAAAACAAAAAGAGAGAGCAGCAGAACTAAATGGTACTTAGGATGAAGAAAGGAGGATGACCGTTCTGGCTCCTACAAAAACATTTAACAAAACCAACCGTAACATGTTGCTAATATTGATGTTCTGCAGGTGATGCCATGACCTACCACCAAGGTCGACCCTGGACAACGGTTGATTCAGATAATGACATCGCTCTGGGGAACTGCGCCCTGACCCACAGAGGAGCCTGGTGGTATAAAAACTGTCACTTGGCCAACCTTAATGGCAGATGGGGCGACAACAGGCACAGCACGGTGAGTGAGCAAGGAGGCAGCTCTGCATCAAGTAGTTATGCTTTTTTTAAAATTTTCCTGGGGAAAACAACTAGAAGTCTAGAAGTCTGGACTCTAGTAAAAAATACATGTTATATTAAGAAAAAATAAGGGTAGGAAGTTAACACGTTAATAATAACTAAAACTGCATTAATGAAAAAGAACCCTTTGGGTCTGTGCCCCCCCAAAATGGGGGGGGGGGGGGGGGGTATTGAAGTTTAGCATCAAAATACATGCTCTAAATGCCAATATCTTAGCCTGGCAAGCCAGACTAAATAAATGCAAAGCAAGAATTTGGTCTAGTTCACTAGGCTACCAATATATATCATCAGGCTGCAGCTCTAAAACATGATCAGAACCTTAGCTACACGACTTTTTATGTGCTCCAAACACAAATAAAACGACAACCAAATTAGTGATCGGAAATCACTCTTCATGTTTGAATGTTTTGCCTTCATTTCTGTCTCTAACGCTGCTAAAAATGTGATTTTACACACATTCTAGTCACCAGTTTTGAAGCCAATGTGGTTCTAAATATGTATCTCCCAACACTCTACACAGAGACAGCAGCCAGAGAGCAACAAAAACAGAACTTGTTTTTTTCCCAGCAGATCACTTTATTTTATCCAGACTTTCTTATTGTTTACTATTAGCCCCACCTTTTTCATCACACTGAAAACAGATGGAAAGCAAAGCCATTTTGACCCAAAAACAGGCTCAGAACTCAAACATCCAGTAGTTTTCTCTTTCCTGGTTTGTCTATATTTGTGTTATGACGAGTCTCATTGGCTGACTGAGTAGTCTAATTTTAGTGAGTAATGCTTCATTCTATTGGCCCTTATAGTGCAAAAGAGGTGTCAATCATCTGAATTGACCAATCAGTCACAGAGGTAGAAGGCTGCGCAGTGAAGCTTCCAGAATAGCTCCAACTTATGCAAGCAGTGTTTTTGATGCATGACACACAGCAGCAGTTCAAAACAATTTTATTTTCCTGTTTTGAATTCAAATACAACTTAATGGCATTTTTTAGAATTTAAACAAGCTTGAGTGTGCAATACAAATTTCCGTGTCTACTGTTTGATTTTCTACATTTAAAGGTGCATTGTGTAGAAATGAAGTAAAAATGACACCCTGTGGTAAAATGTGGTTACTACAACCACTTTAAACAACTCTGGAGCTTTTTGGCCGGCCGTCGTCAACTTACAAATGTCGGTGCTGCAGTATTAGCTCACAGGACGCACGGCAACCCCACACTCACTGATGGTAAACAGTTGTTACGCTCCTCCTTCCTTTGTTTTGAAAGGAGAAAAACTGACAATCCCCACAGCCTGCTGGATATGAAATATGTTTCAGTATAACCTTCCTTCCAAGATGATTGAATCATTAGACTCTTTTGGGATTTTCTATCTCTAAAATTCTCACTGTATTTGTACATAGTGCACCTTCAAATTAAAAAATAGCTTTTGGGGTAAATTTTCTTAAGCAATAAAAATGTGATTAATCAAGATTATTAATTACAACGGTTCAAACTGATTAGATATTTTTTAAATTGAATCCCACACTTACAAAATGTTATAGATATTTTATTAAGTGTTATAAAATAAAAGGCTTTAGTTTAACACTTCTTATGCTTCTCATATTCTAAATATACTTGTATGCTTTTTTGTTGCTTTATTATTATAAGCTTTTTATTATATCACACTATAATTAAAGTCAGATTCAGAAAAAAATACACAGGAGCACCCTTTTTAGAAGTTAGTATCATTCAGTTTAATTCTAATATTCAGAGAAAATACAATATTAAGAAACAAATTGTCAAGGTGAAAGGCTTGTAGGGGATCTTAATGAAATAATGTGACAAAATAAGCAAAAAATGACTTATATAGAAAAACAGAATCTGTCAGCAGGATATAAAGCATTAGCATGGACAGGTGGAACTAAATAAAGTGAGAGAAGGGCTATAACTATTCTTAACAAAAAAATATGAGCAGAATAAATCAATTCAAGGGCAGAAAGTAAATGTGCAACAGCAGCAAGTCAATATGAAGCAGACAAAGCAAACTAAATTCAACATTATTGTTACATGAGCTGTTTTTTAGCTTTGTTTACAGCGAGACACAAAAACCGCTTACCAGGAGGTTGTTTCCTGTTCAGCAATCAAGGCAGCTCCCTCCCATCCCACTCCTTGTTGTTGGGATTTGGATTGTTGGGAAGAAGAAGCTGAAATGACTAGAATCCATCAGGCGTGATAAGAAAACACATTTCTCAAACTGACTTTAAACCTTCAGTGTAATTCAGACGGCTGATAGAGAAGCAACAATAGTTATTAGGTCTTAGGGAGACTGTTGCTTCAGAAAATGTTGGAGGATTTCTCTGCACTTGTTGAGATTCAATCCATAGTATTGCTGTTGTGAATGTCTCTTGCAACGGTCAACGTCAAAAATGCAATGACTGTCAAAACAGGTTTGCACTTCTCATCTATCACTAAGTCTTTGTCACCGTTGATGTCCCTTCTTCAGTTCTCACATCATCCGCCTATTTGCTGTTGCAGGGGGTCAACTGGGAACCGTGGAAGGGACACCGTAGGTCTCTCGACTTCACTGAGATGAAGATCCGACCAGTGGGATTCAGGCCAAGCAGGAAGAGGAGATCGTAGATGGCTGGACAGAAAAGCAGAACCTCAAACAAGAAATAGGGCGACGGCCAAAGTTGTGATGGATGAAACCATCCCCATAGTCCCACGACCATGCTAGATTTAGATGTTTCTGCACTTATGTTGCTACAAATGACCTAAAAAAAATAAATTTACACAAATCAGTTAGGCTCATATTGCACATTTTTATCAAGAAGTTTAAAAGTAAATTATTATCTGTTTCCATTTAAATCAGAATCCCCAAAATTTAGAGTGATTGTAGGAAAGCGCCCTTTGACTTGAGAATAAATAATCTCCATTTCATTGTAATTTTGGAAGCATCTGTTTTAGTGATTCAGTTAAAAGTCTGAAACACTTTTTACTTGTTTCATGTATCATTTTAAGTATTTTTAAAGTGATGGCAGCAGCTTACTTGTTTTATGTTTATTTTATGTCATAGAAAGGCCTTTAGAGCATTAAAGTGAAAGGAAAAGAAGAAACAAAAATGGTTTGCATGTTTAATTAATGGATTGTTTGTTGGCTGAGATCAATGCCCTATTGATGAAACAGCCGCTGCACCTCCAGCGCTGTCACATCTCATCAGCTGGTAGGAGACAAGCCAGAAAGCAGCAACTGATTGCTGTCTCGAACAGCCCAACCGCTCCTACTTTACATTCATGTGACGGCGACACCTCATATCAATCAACCTGATGTGCTATCAAATTCAAATTCAAAGATACTTTATTAATCCCAGAGGGAAATTAGAGTTTCAGTACACACAATTCTGAGATCAGACATACATACATAGGCATAGACACATGACAAGAATTGGTGACCAAACGCCAATGAGAATGACGCTCGCTGGCGCCGTCCTCTGAAACCCAATGACCAAACTCCTGTTTTCAATCTGGAAAGCTGACAGATGCTTTTCATACTGTTTCGACTTTGGCTTTACTTAATTTTTTATTTATTTTAAACTCTTTTATTGCAAACCTGATGTGACAAGGTTGCAGCACATCAATCAGCCTTCCAGCTAATCTGCCAGGAGTGATTTGTGGTCGCTGTGTTTCATATGTGTTGCATTCAGGCCAAATTTGCCAATTTGTCAAACCTTTTATAACGTTCATCCAAACCAACCCTGAAACGATTATTTAACATAAGAAATAATGACTTTACCAATGATTAAAACACACAAGTGCATTATTTAAGTGGAATTATCACAGCCCAGTGGTAGTGGTGATACCATTGATTGAGGTAGAAAAATAGAAGCCTACATAGTTTTTTTCCATTAGAGCTGTGGTTGTGGTGTGTCTCTGCTCAGCTGTAGGGGGAGATATGGGGTAATGGTTCAGAGAACAAGCATGACTGTGTTTCAGTTCAGGTTCTGTCCATTAAGAGCAGAAGAAAGCTGAAACATCTGATCTGATTTGAGTGGATCTCTGATTTTACCAGACATTAAGGATATTGTACTTGCTTGTTTTATTTATTTCCTTATGTTTTTGGAGAATCAGCCACTTGAGATGAACCATCTCAATTCCAAGTGGGTCCTCTGTAGAAAGTTGCAATGAAAATAAAATACCAAGATAAGAGACATAGCATTTTTCAAGCAAATGAAAAATCACAGGGGTAGGAGCAAAACCACACACCAATAAATAAATAATATACATACAATGAAATGAATACATACAAATGGCGCAACAAGTCAGTACATTCATAATACACAATATAAAGGACAGATACATTTCAATTTAAAGAGTTATGGTAAATCTATGAGTAATAATACAAATTAAAAACAGCTGCAGGTGGGAATTATATGTTATTTTATTGAAGCTCTAAATAAACAAATAAATGTAAACGACTTATTGAATGTGTTTCTAAAAGGTCAACTCACTTTTGATACATTTGCATTAGTCTCTCATAGGAATGAATGCCTTGTAAGTCAGCCTCTGGGGAAAAAAGCTCTGGTGTGCCTGGGCATAGAAGTCAACTGGAGGAGAAAGTAGCTTCAGATGGCAGGATTTGGACTCTTATATCCTGACATTTGAACATCTTGCTTGTGATTGGCTAACAGCAGCACAACCATTGACAGTTTGCATTTCAATGTTGATGTTTCATCTCCACAAATAACACAAGCCTGAAGGAGTTCAGCCATGTGGTGGAGTTGCTAATGCTAATGGTTAGTTTCTACGAGTCGAGACGTTCTCTGCTGTTTGCTGGACGCTAAACCAACAACAGGCTTCCCAGTTGTGAGACACGATGGGTGAGTCCATGAATGTTAATTGACAGTGTGACTTTCTATCAGGCTTTTCAAATCACAGAGTTTCACCACCTATTTTATCAGAATGCAGGAGATGGGTGTAGAAGACTATTTTCACGTTCAGCCTGCATGAAAAACTCAGAGTGACAGACATGGCCGTTTCTTCCTACATGCAACCTATGCTGTTGCATTGGGCCCCTAAGCCACTAGGGGCCCCCAAAGCTGCTGTGGTTGTGTAGATTGCGACACAAAATGGCTTTCATACTTTACTGTAACTCTTCAACAGTTTGCCAATCAACTGATTCTGAAAGTTGAGACGATGTACTTTCCAGTGGTTTACCATACATTACGGTAATGTTACGCAAGTCCTTGCCCGAGAACCAGAAAATAAACAGTCTGCTGTGTGCCGTGCTCATAGAGGAGCGGAGGAATTGTTTTGGACGCGTATTTTCAACTTCTGTCTCTTCTACTGGTGTAAATAATAATTATTTTCAGTAAATTTCCTTCTTTAAGTTTTAATTTAGTAATTTTAGAACATTTTTAGTCATATTTGACATTGTTTTGCCATTTTTTGTACTGTTCGGTCACCCGTAGTTTTGTCTTTTTTCAGCTGCGTTTTTCACTGAGGCTTTTATTATTTTATACGTTAGATTTGTTTTTGTAAATAAACCAGAAACCAAGAAACCTTTTAGAAAGAGGAAACTTCCCTCAAAAGTTGTTGATGAGGAGCAAGATGTGCCCACATTGTTTTTCTATCCCAAATGCAGTAAGTATTCCTGGCAGAGATATTTGGAAGTGCTAATACTATTACTATACTATTATATACTGTTACCACTACTTCCAGGAAAACAAAAGGTCCATCTACATCTGTGGTTGAGGATTCAGGTGTGGATGAAGATGATTTGCCATCACAGCTGCAGTAAGCTTATCTACAGTTCAAATATATTTATAGCTTTGATTCAGTTTTTAATTTTTTATTTTTTTAGTTTTCATCTTCTAACATTTCTAGTTTTACCACTTGAGTATGTGTGACCTTCATCACCCTCTTCTTGTTCTGCTCTCCCTACCTATTCCACCTTCCTCAAGATTCACTGATTTCCCTCTTTTCTATTCACTCTCTCTTTCTTTACATTTTTGAACCACAATTGTCTATTTTTTGCTCATTTAAAAATTATTTTAATCATTTTCTAAATTATTTTTTATATTTTTACATTTTTTGTTTTTGTGAAGCGCCTCGTGATTTTAATCTTTAGAGGCGCTATAGAAAATATCTTTTCTTCTTCTTCTTGAGTATGATTTATAAAATTTGATGTAAATATTATTTTAGAAATTCTTCTGATGAAGATCCATCCACCATCACCAGCGATAGACAATGTCAGAGACAGGATGCTGCTGGAGATGCTCCACATCTTCTGGACTCCTGGACAACAAAGTCAGACGACCCATGACACAGATTTATCCCCAGAAGAACCCCTGGCTATCAGCAACCTCTCACCACCAGCTCCACAGACAAATCAGCAACAAGTTGCAGAAGGAGGCCATGAAACATCAACAGTTTCAGAAGCAGCAGTGTGCACAGGATGAAAACCCTCCAGTGACCTCCACTCAAGGTCACATCCCTGTCCCCGGACCAGTGGAGAAGGAATGGACAAAGCACAGAGGGCAAGACAGGGGTGAAACAGGTACACTCTGTGCAAAATAAATAAATAAATTAATAAATAAACACTTCCTGGATGTGCAAAGAGTGCAAGAAAAGATAAAGTCTGCAGCAGGACAAGAATTGCTCTGCAGAATACCACAACAGCTAAAAACACCAGAACATTGACAGACAATATCTATTCAAACTCAGACACTGAAAGATGTACGTATAAATAAATCAATACAAGGTTGTAATGCATGTTATGCTTGATTTCTGCTATTTCAGATTTTTTTGTTCATGTACATTTACTTTTTCTATTGAGAAATTTCTGAAGAAAAATCAAGTGTTTTTATTTTAATTACAGTTATAACACAATGTTTTGGTTTAAAATGCCAATTCTAAACCACACAGCAGCTTTAAATGTTAATATCCCAATAAAACCAGTTATACTTAAAATAATTGCATCTCAGACCATCAGAAAGATTGTAATCTTGTCTTGATACAGGAATCTTTAACCAATTGTTGGCGTACTTGCCCATATTCACTTAGCCCCTTTATTATGGTGGGTGTGATGTGAACACCCCTCTCTGGGAGGAGGTCTGCACTACTGCTTTCTAGTTTTTATTAGTTAGTTATATTTATTGAGTGAATGTTTAATTTTAATACTGTACCATGTTTTGTTTGCAATTTGTGACAATTCATGGTGTGTTTATAGAAAATCTAAGGTAGGCTATCATGCGATTGCAGTTTGTCAAAATAGGGGGGCCCAGAACATTATCTTGCGTATGGCCCCCACAATGCTAGAAACAGCCCTGACAGATGAAAGATAATAAAGAAAAAGTGTTTTCTCAGTGAACTTGCTTTTTAAAGAAATTGGAATAAAAACCAGTCATTTTACTTCATAAGTTAGTTCATTTATCAGAAGAAGAACCACAATGAGGGTCCTTCGACAGGAATGTTGTTGAAAGAGAATGGCATTATGCTGGTGAAGGTTCTCAGTCATCCAGGTCATGGTAATCCAAAGGGTTCAAATGAAGGCAACTGGACTCCTTTGGTTTCTTGCATGACATTACTTTGACAAAGGACACTGCCACCTACAGGCCAAACAAGTCAAACAGAATCTAGAGCTTTGTTGTAGATAGAGATGTTAAATGAGCTGGGGTCTCTTTTAAAAAGCTTGCTGACGCACAAAATGGGGTCGGGAAACTGCATAAGCAACTTTCCATGCAAACTTTGGGATTTATAAAAGAAAATGTAGCAGAAAAAATTGCGCAACTTTAAGTTGACTAAGGTCCTGGCTTACGCACATTTTGGACATGGAAATCACCTGCAGTGCTGCTGCTCAGAAGGATACAATTATGAATTCCAGCAGCATTATCACTTGTACCGCTTTGTGCGCACACAGAACAAGTCTGTTGTCTGAATCTGAGTCTGAATCCCGCCTGGGCCCTCAACCCCCCCCCAACCCTGCTACACGTCATCCATAGAACCAATACAGAAGACACGATTTTCATCTTTTATTTTCTTGACAATTCTTTAATTTCCCTGAATTTCAGTCAAGACATCACATATTGTGTGCTATTCAGACGACACCCAGCTCTATCTGTCAT